AATAAAATATTGCTTTAGACTTTTATGATCATAAAAATTTACCTCATCAGAATCGAATAAGTCTATAGACTCCGGTGAATTAAGTTCAGGAGTAGTACTATTAGGATCTATGTCATAATGACGGGCTCGAATAGGTGAACTTTTAATACAGTCTTCTTCCATACTCGAAACATCATCCCCAGATGACTCATCTACTACCACATTTTTTATGCCTGTAAGGTAAAATCCATATTATACAAATTGTTACCCTCGATCTTATTTTTGACGTATTGTTTATTTTAAATTCGTTGAATTGGGATAAATCGGTCTCCGATCGCTTTGCACGATTATTTACAATTCCTATTCCCATACACATCAGTAGAACATCAAAATTAAGTAAATAAGAATATTAAATCTTTAGAAAATACAAACCAGACATCTTGGGCCGATTATTTCGTGGATAATTCTCTGCGTTTGCTATAAAGGAATTAGGCAGAGACAGAGTTATCTGTCGTGTTAACTTCACCGACTGTCGTGTCGTCTGTGTCGGGGACCGGGGTACGGGCGGAAGATCCCACATCATATTATTGGTAATATATCGTTATTTTAGTATCAGTACCGATACCGATAAAGACACTCATAATTACATATATTAATGAACTGAAATAAAATATCGGTACCAGTATCGATAAAGAGGTACCAAAATATCAGTTCCTATATCGATATTTCGATATCGATACAGGAATCATATCGGTATTACAATCTCTGGGTATGCGTAGGTCGCGAAAGGTCTAACGGGTTGCCGGGACTCCGGCTCGAAAAGCAGGAGTAGGAACAGGTTTGTAGTCAGTAAGAGTCTGACACTCCCTCTTGCCTAACCCAAGGCGGGAGAAGTCATTTGATGGTTTTCCAAAAAAAAGCTTCCAGTTGTCGTATATACGACAAGCGGCAAAGAGCAAGTGGTGACTGGTGACTAGAATTGATTTCCTAAATAAGTATATTAAATACTTAGTAGATACGTATGACACTTAGCTTTAGGTAGGTCATTATAGATTTTACGAATTAAATTAGTATCTAATAATATATTTTAAGTGTATTTGCGTAGCGAGTTTACACGTGCCATAGCGTGTAGGTATTTCACGTTAAAATAATTATGGCTAAAAACAAGCCACCCACTTAAAATATTCGAATGTTCGTAGTAGAACGTTACCACGTTTTGTTTATAAACATTGACAAAATAAATACTTCTTAAGTTTCGCATACCTACATAATTAACGGTTACATAAATTAACGCATGTTTTCTACGAAAAGATACATTTTATTTTTAATTCGCGATATCTTGAACTCGACCGTGACCTTGCAAAAATAACGCCTGGTAGTGTTCTACGGTCGCATTCTTTTTTTAAATTTAAATTTGCTACCAATATCTGTGGACTTACAAAATAAAAACATTTACTATCTGTACCTCAAAGTTAACGATGAATGCAGGGTTAAAATAAAGAGAAGTATCTACCGAAGTACCGATATAGGCCCAGCAATTACCAAAACCGTCTACTTATAAATACAATAAAAACTGCGTTTAAAAAACCGACTTCAAAAAACCGACTTCTAACCTATCAGTGGGTGGGTAACCTATCAGTACTAATAATAGTTATTTTTTGCTTTTTAGTTTTGACTTTTTGTTTGTTATTAGTTTTTGGTTTTTTGAAGTCGGTTTTTTAAACGCAGTTTTTATTTTATTATTTTATCATTTTTAGTGTAAAGCTACATAATTATACCCGTTTTGTTACTTATAATCTACATAGGTGCAAAGTTCTAATCAATACAAATTATACAAGCCCGAACACAAGGTAGTTACTGTATACCGTTGAGGAGTTCCCTTAACAATTACACTTCTTCATCATCAGACCCTTAATGACAGCTCCACTCTATCTAGGTGTAAAGTCCTCATCAATACAAATTAATCAAGCCCAAACACAAGGTAGTTACTGTATACCGTTAAGGAGTTCCTTTAACAATTACACTTCTTCATCATCAGATCCTTAATGACAGCCCTACTCTATTTAGGTGTAAAGTCCTCATCAATCCAAATTAATCAAGCCCAAACTCAAGGTAGTTAATATAAACCGCTGAGGAGTTCCCTCGACTGCCTGTCGGCTCCATCATCAGGTCAACTCCAGACCCTTATCAAATTGTAGTGTTTCAAAATCCTAATTGAAAAACATAATAGACGCATTACTCGCCCATAGAATTTTCGAAAGTTCCCCTCGGTTTCCCTAGGATCCCATCATCAGATCCTGACCTCATGGAAATGGGACCATCTCGGGAGTATACCCTTTCAAACAAAACAAGAATTTTGGAAATCGGTTCACAAATGGCGGAGTACTGCGCGAACAAACAAAAAAAAAAAAGTTTAAAGTCGGTAAAAAAAAAACAAAAATTCTAGGCAGTCAAGCATTACAGTTCTACATATATCTGTGCGGAGCATCTATGGGTTAGAAAAAATTAAACGAGTTTTGAAATTCGATTGCGGGAACTCGACCAACGATTGCTGATTTGCTGCTAGTCAGTACAGAACCAGTATTTATAGTACCTATTTGATAGGAATAAATTATACCCATTATGATTTAGACGGAGACGAAAGCTTACAACACTAACACAGGTAGAATCAACCAACTAGTTAGAGCATTTGGTCATTAGGTACCTAAAATTAATAAAATATCCCAATGAAATGAGCAAAGCAGCTTCTTTTATAAGTACTTTAAAAAACCTACATTAATTATGTGAGCCTTATTGTAAAATTGAGGATAAAAAAAATATTTTCCAAGAAAAGGTCCACCAATGTCTCAGTCTCTTCGATCTCAAGGTTAAAAAATATGGTCCCTACGAGATCGAAAGAAAGATATACCTATCAACGTTGCTGGGTGTCTGGTAATAAGTAGACAGAGCTAAAACGCAAAGTAGGTAACAATAAAATTAAACGTTGTTGATAGATATTAAAATTGTAATTAATGACAATGATGAGCAAAATGAGTTAAATATACGTACTTATGTTTACAATTTTAACGATCAATGATTAATGAAGTAGTTTAATCTAGTTTAATCGAAACTTTATGATATCTTTTGACAATGTAGGTGATGTTTTAATAATAAATATTATACCACGGTAAAAAATTAAAACAACCCGCGTTGATAAGTTGCGAAGAAGAAATATCCAGTTCAATTCATCGACAAAATTCGCATAACTTTCATGTTAGACTAAGGAATAGGTTAAAAAAATTTACTGTGCGGACAGAGTCGTAGGCCTGACTAGTATAAAATAATTTCTAACCTATCTGAAATGCCATTACGACCATAATTGTTAGAGCAATAAAGAGCTAGGCACTAGCTGTCGCTGATATGATAATGTAGAATGTTAATTTAAATATATGTTAGATTAAGGAGATAACCAAAAGATATATTGTCATTGAACAAGCCACTAGCAGGTAAATAAACGACACTTCTAAAGAAAAAGAACGAGTAACTATTCTTTCTAAAATTCCAATGAATGAAACAATCGGATGTCGCAGTTGGACGGAATCGAATCGGATGCATTGCGCGCACGCACTTGTAGGTATCTACGTCATCCACAGATTCAAAATGTGTACCTATACAGAGCACAAACACTAGCTCAACAATGTACCTACTCACATTACTACTGCATAACAAAATCATCACATCTTTTAAACCCTTAACTTAGGGGTAGGAGCTCTTAGTGCTTAGGAACTACATACTCGTATAATATCTAATGTAATCCAATATTCACCGGTTCGATTGACCATTGGATATGAGTCCTAAGCCCGATTTAGGAATCGAATGTTAACATTAAGTAGTTCGGCGGTCAGGCTTGCGACTATTCGATAAAAAAATGCTTAGACATCATCATTATAAAAAAACAAGTTGAAAAATGAATTTGATGTACCCATAGATTCTACGTGCTACGTTTTATACTTAGGTTTCATAAATAAACCTAGATTCTATAGCTTGTTATAGAACCTATGATTTATCATCTCTGTACTAGGTGTCTAATTCCTTTTATATCGTTAAATGCAAGCGCCAGCAGAAATGACCTTTCATTTGTTTTTATTAGAGAATACAAGAACAGCGTCACTGTGACTGAATGTAAGTTACCTCCAAGTGTATCAATAAAAACATTATTTATTAGCCATAATGCATTGTAGCAAATTAGCAATAGAAATTAATTGTTTATGTTGTCATAGCTTTTAACTCGTCGAGTACCGGTTTTGCAGACACAATTATAGAACAATAGGTTGCGGTCACCGGTGACCGCTTGGTGTTTGACAGTTTAAACCAAAACAGAAGACTCGATTTATCTTACAAATACCTGTTAAAATTACTGTTGTTTTAAAATAATAAAATAGATACAACGGTAATAAACTGGGTTTTGACAAATACCTGCGCAAATAACTAAATACTTAATTAAGTATGTAGGTATGTCATCCTCAAAAAGTAAATGACTGACACAGTCGGTTCGTGCAAAAAAAAAAAAAAATACACGACCTCAAATTTCGAATCGATATTTTAAACTGCAAAATTGGAAGATTAATTAGGAATTTCCTTATTTAAATCGAATTTACTCATGTATAAAATGCAATATTTTAGATAGAACATTGATTAGTACCTATTTCATTAAAAAAAGGTATTAGATAAAAATTAATTTGGGTACTCACAACATGATCGATGGTGATGATAACTAGTACGACAGTTCGTGATCACAGCCACTCGCAGACTGCGAGCGCGGGCGCAGAATATTATTGTTTGAATGGCTTTAAGGTCGATTGTTCGCTTTTCTATTGCGTATGACAATGATTCGACGATCTTACACCTTTACGTGTTCCCAGTTATCATAACTTGCAGCAGATAAATCCATGATTGTAGAAGATATGTAAATAAAACAATTCATTTAAATAGATTATAATCGTAATGAAAGATATATTTTATCTGACACGTTGATAATAAAGCTTATACACATTTTATATAGGGATCGGAGTTACTTTGCTAAATGAACTAAAGTAGGTAACCGACATATCCCAGCACTGGTAGTGCATATAACTCGAAGATCCGACAAGCGCTGGGACAGCAAGGATCTCGAGTGAAGGCCACGTACAGTGGCCGGCCAGCACAAGCACATCAATCTAATATTCTAATGTGTCAATTTCTGTCATTGGATTTTCGACTTTATTCCTACATGATAGAGTATAAAATGTAAAGAAGAAATTTGACAGAAAGGACTTGGTTGACCTGGTGCTCACTGTCCAGACCGGCAAATGCAGCGTGGGACGTCTTTTTTTTTTTTTTTTTATGGAGTCGGAGGCAAACGAGCATACGGATCACCTGATGGTAAGCGATCAGCGCCGCCCATGGACACCCGCAACACCGGAAGAGTCACAGGTGCGTTGCCGGCCCTTTAAAAAGGAGTACGCTCTTCTCTTGAAGGTTTGAAGGTCGTATCGGTTCGGAAATACCGCCGACGACAGATCATTCCACAGTTTTGCTGTGCGAGGCAGGAAGCTACGTGAGAACCGCACAGTTGTGGCCTGCCAACCATCTATATGATGGGGATGCATATGCTGTCGTGAGGGTCGATGGCGAAAAGATGCGGCAGGTATCAGGTCAAACAATTCCTCAGAGCACTCCGTGTAACGCCTCTGGTGTTCCAGGTGTTCATGGGCGACGCCGATTGCTTACCATCAGGTGATCCGTCTGCTCGTTTACCGGCTTATGTCATAAAAAAAATGGGGGAGTCCTATATTCAGCAGCAGTGGTGATATATTATGATAACATTTTTCTTGGGTTTCAATTGCCTAGTTGTTTGCATTGTGATGTGGAGATTTCAATTACGATTAATATCAAGGTCGAACTGGATACGTACCTACCTAATTACTCCAATAATTACCTATTGATATTTTTATCGATAACTATCGTAATCAATGAACTAAAATCAAATAAATACACGAGTGTCGAGCAAGGAGGTTTGTGTTTGATTTCTGGGTCCGCACTTGTAGAGATATAGGTAGGTACTTAGGAAAATTTGTTTCAAGGTCCTATTTAAGTAAGTACAATTACATCATCAACAGATTAGCCATAGGTCTTCCACTGCTCACGCTGCTGCTACTGACGTCCTATCATGTTATCATGGTTGGAGTCATTGGGGGAGCGCAATGACGGTCGACGAAGGTCGCCGAGAGCCGCTGAAGTACGATATAATAACAATAAATTAAAATACATAGGGTATTTCATGTGAGAGAACCATGCTTCGCATGCCACACAGAAAACAGAAGTGAACCGACGCCAATGCCAGCGTTGTGTTGGCAACGCGCTTGTTCCTCGTTTGGTGTTTTAGGTGTCTATGGACAGCGCGAATTGCTTACCATCAGAAGGTATTACGTTATCCTACAAAAATGTGACAAATTCATTGGGAAAATCGAAAACTATACTTATTTCTGCAGATACGGGAAGGAAGGTTAGATTAATCACTACATAGTATAAAGAAAAGTTGCTATCCGCCGTCTGTCTGTCTCTATGTATGCTTAGATCTTTAAAACTGCGCAACAGATTTTGATGCGGTTTTTTTAAATAGATAGAGTGATTCTTAGGGTTAAATGTACGCACGAAGCCGGGGCGGGTCGCTAGTATTCAATAAAACATACCAAGTTATAAAAATATCTGTTATTCAGGATAGCCTCCATCCGATATTAAAAACATTATTCAAATTGGTAACTAAAGAATACTTATTAATTACACAATTTTCATGTGAAATACAGCAAGTTGAACCACCGGTTATAGTACCTATAAACATTTTACTTGAATTTACAATACTTACAAAATATTAACTTAAGAATTTACTAAAACTTTGACGTGACAATATTATTCTGTTGTGCACAACCGATACAAATACCAGTACCTGTCTTTTTGTTCACCAGGTGGCGCTAGTGGACCTCTCGTTCTCCCAAAAGGGAATCGGCTACTGTCACGCCAATGGACGTTAAATTTTTGACAGCTACAGTAATTTAACAAGATCTTTACTAGATCAGCGCCATTTGGTAAGCAAAATAACGATAGCCCCATTTGGGCTCAGCCATTAACACGGGCACCACTATAATTATAATAATACCCTACACGACCGATGGCAAGATTGTGTCATGAGGGGCGAGGGGTGTGGAGGGGCGGATGTTATCATGTATTTTCTCATTTAACTATCAGCACAAATTAATTTTCTTATTCATATACAAACTAGTTGTTCCAAATACAATCATAATAAAAAAAAATGACAACCACAGAATAATGAGAAGTTATACAAAGCGCGAACTCATAACACCCCTGCCCAACTATGATAAAATCTTGGTTATAAACTTGACGAACAGAACTCGAAACATAAATTTTCATTTTGAAAGATTAAAAACATATATTTTCTTGAGTTTTCGTCATTGAGTACCGTCATTATAGACACCGAGCTGTCACCGGTGACCGCTCGGTGCACGGAATATAGAATACAATGGAAGTAGCAAGTAGGCGTGGCACGCGTGCCACAGCTAAGCTGTGTACTGCTTACTCGAGGCAAAATTTGAGTTCAGTCTCGTTCGAACATGGCGTCGAGTTGCTAGTCTCGTGTCAAATACATATTTCCTCAACTATGCCGTTTTGTTCCGTTTTGGCGTGTAAAAATGATAGCAGCCGAAAAATCGTAAAAATGGAGGTGTTCCGTATCATCGGTAAGTACAATTTTTATTGTTTTCTTGTAGAAATCTTATTTTATTTCAATTTACAAAAACAGTTATTAAAATAATATTATTTACTAAAACGGTTAGTCAAAATCAACCTTACGCCTTCAAGATAAAGTTTATTTTGGATTTATTCCATTCAATAGAACATTCTCGCCAGTTCTACGCTACTCAAATAGTTATGTAGTCAAATCACATATTGAATTTATCGATTGATATCGATGCAAGTGTAATGTAAGTAATGTAACATTTATTTAGATTATTTTTTTATTATTATTTTAGTGGTGACCCCGACGTGATTGGAAGCAACCTTCACTTCACGGAGCAGATCAGCACCGTCATCCTTATCGCCATCCCTCTCATTTATCACATTATCCATATAAAGTTTGTAAAAATTTATGTAATAGTTGTTACTTATATTGCCTATGTGAAATAAAAAAAATGATTTTTTGAAAAAAGAAACTAATAAAAAATACGAACAAAATGGTTTTTGATTTACATGTAAATAAATACTTACCCTTTTTTGTTACGTTTAAAAAGTTATCAACGACATATTAATTTTATTATTTTAATACTGTCACACTATAGCAGTCAATATTTTTTTTCATATTATTTTTAAAACACATTTTCATATTATCGATATTATTTTTATCGAATTATCCTACATCACTATCTGAGTAGAGACCCGCATTCGAGCCAGTGATAAGCCATTCAAATATCACCTTTATTCTTACAACGTTAAAGTTCAAACCAAGTACCACTTTTCGTCGCTAGATGGCATTGTTAAACGCCATCTAGCGACGAATGGCGGTACTTGGTAGTCCAAAACATACTTTTTTATTTTGATTTATAGTACATTGGTTTTAAAGTTGCATATCGTATGATATTTTTTTTGCATTTCGTTTACGCCCATTTTTTTTCTAACCAATCGTAATTTCCGATTTATAGTATGAGTAAATTATAAATGTATTAGTTTGGCGACACCGGTTCTGGCAGAAATATTGTTTCAAGCTACTTCCATTGTATTCTATATTCCGTGGCTCGGTGTTTGACAGTTTAAGACCTCACTGATTTTGGCCTTTTTGCAGAACAAAAACTTAATTTCTAAACAGTTAATAACATACTTGCTTCCTTAAAAAACCAGGACACATCACTTGCTTTTCTTTCTTTTAAAACTTAATAATTTCATTAGTCTTTAGTATTTGGCAAATAATACCAAGCGGTCACCGGTGACCGCAACCTATTGTTCTATAATTGTGTCTACAAAACCGGTACTCGACGAGTTGAGGAAGTTTACACACTGAATTGTTAGCCAGTTATAAAATTATAAGGACTTTTTGCTTTGTTTACCTTGAGTCACATATTATGTCACTGTAGTACTTTTTGAAATATCACTTAAATGTATATTGCACTTGAATTTAAATTTTGTTTTAGTCTTATTAAACAGATACATTGCTTACATATAAACTTAATATTATTGCAACCTTCAGTTACTCTCTGATATCTTTAATCTCCATGTTCACTGGTATTTTTAAGTAAATAGTTTGATTTAAAATCTTCTCTATACTTATCAGTAACCAAAAGATATCCTTCGTTATGAAATGTATCGTTTGTAGCACTTAAGACACAGATAGACTTTGAATTGATCTTTTGCGCACATCATTGTTGCAAAAACATAACATCTCATCAAGTATTTTTAAATTTTCAAATTAATACATTCTAATTATAACAAACCGAATGTGCACGAAAGATTAACTTAATAAATCTTAGCTCCATTTTGAAATGTAAAAATGTAAAAAAATACTAAAAGTTAATTAGTAATGAGTTTTTGTTAGTCTGGTGTCCGGGATCTTGGTAACTCGTCACCGAAGCAATGTTTATTGATAGGATCTTTATAAGAATTCTCGTGGAGAACACTGTGTGAACTAGTGCGGCATTTCGTCAAGCACAGTTCATAGTCGTCAGTCAGTGAACGGAAGAGTACATTTTTCTCCGTCGAGAGTTTTGATAGCACAACTTCTAGCATGTGCCTCTGAAAATTACAAATATAAATGTATTAATTTAAAATCTTCCATTTTGACACAATTATGGTCGGTTTCAGCCCAGCTTAACCTATTTATCTTAACTAAAGTACCCCATAAAATAGTAAAATATTTTTTGCTTTTCAGATAGTTCCCGTAAAGGGTTATTCTCAGCTATGAGACACATTTGGGTCACGGATTCTACATAGTTATATAGATGCCAGTTCATAACATAATTTTATACCTTACTGGGATCCAAACAGCAGGACACACAATATTCATATATGATACAGCAATTATTTTCTGTACAAGTCTCGCAGCTGTACCTGTCAGCAGAGTCGGCTTCAGTGTCACAACAACCATTCTTTGTCATGTCACTTCTATGACATACGTAACCTGGAATATTTACAGACAAGTAAACATAATTACTTGCTTTTTATATAGCTTGCTATATAATACACAGTTATAAATTGGGTTTACTCTGTATTTACCATACTATTTATTGTTTACCATACACTTTACATGACAAATTGTTTTTTGTTTCAATTATTGTATCTTTGCTTACCCCTTCAGAGAAAATGTGTAATGTTTAGTTACATATTGCAGTTTACACATAAACAATTTACATCAAAAAAAAAGATAACAAGCTGGAGCATTTGGTTTTATCATGAATTTAATAACTGTTAGCAAGAATAATTTGCAGTGTAATTAAGTTATGTAATATACTACACTAGCGAGCCGCCCCAGTTTCTTACGGGTGCAATATGTATGTATTATACATATAAACCTTCCTTAAGAATCACACTATCGATTTCACAACTTCTTCCATTCCCCTGTATTTCCAAATTGCACTGTTATAGGCAAAAAAAAGTTTTTAACTGTTTTAATTGTATACCTACTGTTATTGTTAATTTTGTAAAAATGTCCAAGGAGGAGCGGGGTCTCCTAACACAGGCATATCTTGCTTAAAAGGAGTCCCCAAGTACGATCACCCAATGTAATCACAAATAACAATAATAAAAGGATTTTCTTTTTTCATTTAAAAAAACCACATCAAAATGCATTGTTTTAAAGATCTAAGCATACATAGGGACAGACAGATGTGTCTAAGGACTTTGTTTAATACTATGTAGTGAAGTAACTATAAAACATCTTTTGTAATAAACGAATGACCTACCTCTATCATCAACAAGTAATGATTTCCCTTGGACAGAGTTTCTGCACATAATATGATCTATAGTGTCATTGTGTTCCTGTAGAGTTCTCCAAACAAATGGCTTCCTCTCAAATGAAACATCCTGGTATATCATGCCTCTGCTACTGCCCTGAAAATTGCATACAAAAAAAATCAGTAGTGGAATAAAGATTCCTGACCGTAGATTGTTATTGTTTACGACATAAAAGCAATGCAATAAACAATAGAACTGTTGACAAACTAATCATATTTTCATTCCAATCAAAGGCTATAACATTCTTCGAATACTAACCTCTCTTAGGAAGCTGACGATACAGTAAGTTAAAGAAGACGCAAATATAATGCCTAAAACTAAACGTCTTCGTATGAACCGCACTACCGCAGCGTACCACATTTTAAACTCGTTATTAACACTCAACTTTGTAAACCGATCACAATAATAAGGAAATAAACTGAAAAATAATAACATTTTCAGGCGTAACAATGCAGTCTATAATTCATCACTTTCTCCGGATACATCGTTTATAAATATTAAGTGAAATCTTAATGTAATTAGCCTGTACAAGTGAGGTATTCTATGTTTATTGTTTTAGTTAATATATACGATGCTGATTGATTTTTTTTCGCATAAACATTGCGATATAAATCATTACACACAAGGAGAATCCAGGTTTATGAAATTAAACTATTCACACTATCATTTCTGCGGTCAGCTATTTGTGATCACGATCAGTGATTCTGACTGATTATATCTGATTGTCAGTGTGAGTGATTCTGATTGTGCACGACTTTGACAGTTAGAGTTGACACTTCTGTGTTCTGACTTTGACAGTGGCACAGATAAAATAGAAGCACGGTATTAATCGATTTTGAGATAACCAAACGTAATGTAATCTATGAGGTGACTTCCCCTATACTTACTATACTCTTTGGAATTGACATTGACATTGTTATAGAAGATTTGTTGTGGCCAAAGTTGTGGCATACTATACTTACTATGACCTAAATTATCAACAAAATGTGAACTATACATTTGTGACTAGAAACAGACTAACGACTCTAGCAAAATTTAATAAAATAGCTCCAAATACCAAAATTACTGGTAAGAACTGACTTCACCTCCTTCTTAGGTTGACCAATATTCGTTGAATATTTTCATAAATTCATCGAGGACAAAATACAAAATTTCAACCACATTTCAGATATATATTTCAGATATATATCAGATACTACATAAGAGCAACACAGACTTTCACCCTGATTCAGTATTGTTGTATCGGACCAAGCTTTATTAATCTCCACGCCTTCTTGAAATTGAAGACAAAAATAATCTGACACATGGTCATCCATAATTAATGTGGCTCTGGATAACCGACATTGGCAATAAGCGACATTTCCGCAAAATTTCAATTGATTAATGATTATTCAGTGTTTTAGTTAATTTTAAATAGTTTCTATTTATTCACAATTGTGTAGGTAAATTAAGTTTTTATTTTAAGCAAATAAATTGATATCATTACATTCTCCCCAAGCCGTCAAATAATCATGAATACTTTCTAGTTCTTTTATTTCGGTCTTATTAATTAGCGAAGTTTCAAGCATCAAGTAATCAGACCAAATGTTGGCGACATTCAATAGAAGACCAAAACGCCAATCACTACATTATAGGCCTTTTAACCCTTCAATACTTTTAAGGCCTAGCTTTTGTAAGGTTATTTTATTTATTCCTAAAAATGATATATTTTTAATTAAAAAAAAAACTGAAGAATTGAATCGGGTAACACTTTTAACCTGGCAACACGAAAAAGAAAAAAAGGAGGATTATTGGTTTTTGGGGAGACGCGGGAAAGCGGAGATTTATGGCGGCAATTTTGGGAGTCGAAAAAAGGTGAATGGACGTTGAGAGGGATAATTGATAAAATACAGAGTGTGAACATATGCAGTGGAAGTTTTATTAAAAACCCCTATAAACATTACACTTTAACTTCCCTAATTGCCCTATTCTAGTTTAGCTTTGTTCATTGTGCCTATTTATTTGTTAATGTTCGTACCAATTATGTTTAAATGTATTGTACGGATTTTATGATAAACAATAAACGGTGTTTCGGGACGCACGTGGCGGCCAGATGTCTCATTGGGTGTGAGCATGGCTATAGTAGGGATAAACCGGGAATGGTATAAAAGCTAACGCTCACAATTAAAACTCTCTACTCGGAGCACGACGCGCGCAGATGATTGAAACAAGTTGAAGTTGTGTAATTATGTTCGCAGAGCGTGCGCGTCCAGAAGTCTTGGAGCGTAGGTGATGTTGAGTGCTCCGAAAATGAGTGAGGAAAGAGAGTTTTAACTTGTGAGCGATGGCTTTTATACCATTCCCGGTTTATCCTTACTATAGCCATGCTCACACCCAATAAGACATCTGGCCGCCACGTGCGTCCCGAAACACCGTTTATTGTTTATCATAAAATCCGTGCAATACATTTAAACATAATTGGTACGAACATGAACAAATGAATAGGCGCAATGAACAAAGCTAAACTAGAATAGGGTAATTAGGGAAGTTAAAGCTAGGCCTTAAAAGTAACGAAGGTATAAAATGACTTTATTGTAGTGATTGGCGTTTGGGTCCTCTATTGAATGTCGCCAACATTTGGTCAGCAGTTGGTGTGCCTACATACGTATGGGTTCTCTTACGTCGATATTTAGTCTTAACCCATGGTATGCCGGAGCGTAGATATACGCGAAACCCAATGTATTTTCTATTGTATCTCATATACCGGCAGATAGTAAGTAGTAGATACTATTTCGACAGCCGGGATGCAAGACTTTACGTGGTCTCCGAGACACGGCACGTCAGACAGTGGTCAGTAACCTAATTACTGCGCCAACCCCGCTGTTCTAAATTAATCTGCTTGGAAAGGATAAAGGTAGGTACATAACTGGATATATATATGTACTTACTTATGTAGGTAAGTAAAATGCTGCTGATACAAAACAATAATATTTTTTCTTTTATTAAAAAACACGATACAGGTTTTTGATTATAAAAACTTAAATAAACAGCTTATCAATTAAATTTCTCTTACAAATTATTAGTCTTACATTTTTCACTTAAGTACCTATATAAGTACTAATACCTAATCTATGAATTATTCTTAAATACTACTTTATAATGATTATTACAACAATAATAGGATAATCTGAATATTAATATAACACGTACCTAAATATTGTATAGGTACAAATTATAGATACAATTTATGTATTCATGAGAATTGATCTCAACAATATTTATTTACGATGATTTTTATTATAAAATACTAGCAGTCCGTCCCGGCTTCGCACGGGGTCTGACAATGATTTATTTTTGGTAATTTGGATTTTTGTAGTGACATAACTACAATAGTTGGACATATGCTACCGCGTAGTTTCTTGTAGACATTATAATTTTCTGCAATATTGTTGTACATTATTTTGTTCTATCGCTAATAGTTTCGGCAGCGCATTTGACGAAAGATATTTTAAGACTCATTTTTCTACACCTTCGGTTACATTGTTAAAATTTTACCAAGGATCCCTAATTTTTTCAAAATGAAATGTAGCCTATGTCAAATTGGAAGAATGTAACATTCTATTGGTGAAAGATTTTTTTAAATCGGCCCAGTACTTTTTGAGCCTATTCATTTCAAACATACAAAAATAGGTACAAATCTTTCCTCTTTATAATATTAGTATAGATAATGTGGAAAAGTCTATAAAATATATTGAGGTAGTAGGATAACAATAAAAAAGGAGGTAACTGAAATGTACTGAGGGCTGGTTGGTTCATTTGAACCGGCCAATCAGAACGCCGAGCGCAATCTCGTTTCGATGTCAAACGTATAACGAACTCGTACTAAGCCCTATGATCGACTTACAATAATAAAACTACGTAAAAGAACATCCTCCTTCTTTGCGAAGAACACATAAAATGCAATACCAATTTAAAGTTCACTTTCTGGAGTCGTCAAGACTTTTTCAAATATTACTGGGCCATGCCGGTTTGTAATTCTGGTAATTCATTACCTGAAACGAAAAATAAAGAAAGAATGACTAAAACACATAAAAAAACTGGCGGCGTCTATTCTATTTTATGAACTACAAGCCAAACCACGTTGTAGATTGGCAATTGGCAATATTATCAGAGGCCTTAGTACGAGTTTGTCTTACGTTTAAAGTAATCGTAACGAGTACGCGTTCGGCGCTGTGATTGGTTGCTTCATTGGCGCCGGCCAATCAGAGTGCCAAACGCGTACTCGTTTCGAATACTTTAAACGTAAATCAAACTCATACTAAGGCCTCAGACTTATAGAACCGACGCTAAACAACACTTTCATTGAATTTCATCGTGTGGGTGAGGTTAGCGGAGGCCGAATTGTAACTCCGCCGGAGTTACGGGTGTCCATGTGCGGTGTCAATTGCTTACCATCGGGAGATCCGTCTGATTAAAAAGATTGTTTTCTTACCGGGTCAATTTAGATTGTCTACACACCAAATAATAAAAAAATATTTCGAATTTCTATGATAAAATGAACTTTCAATTACCTTGCATAAGTGACTGCAGAAAGATAGAGTGCAAGGAGAAGGTGTATTGTAGGGAGAGTACCGCGTTATTATATACTTGCCACACATGTGGCAGCGGACGAATGGCGCGTGGTTGAAAGTACCGACGTGACCTGCTACAGGGTTGTGGTTTTGAGCATGAACGGGTCTTTCACGCTGAAACAAAAATAAATTACAAATATACTTCATAGTTATAAATTTATTAAAATTAACGACTTACTCACGTAATGTAATTTAAAAAAGCTCTACTATTTGCGTGCGACAGCGCGACGCACGCTGCTAATGAATAAGAGCCCCGTTGTGATTCGAAACTAGTCGAGCTATTCTCAATTTATTCACCTAAGTACACTGATAATTTAATTTAACTTAGTATGTATCACGATATGTACATATTATATGAAAAAATATAGTTGTAAGTAGCGAAAATTAATAATTCGCGTTGCATTAATTTAAGAAAATAATTTCTATTAAATGTTTCCTCACCATTTGCTTGTTCATGTTGTCGTAGCAAGCATAATGTGGGTTGTTAAAGTTGTTTCCTTGACTGTTATTTATATATTGTCCTTTTTGACTGCTATTTATATATTGTACTCGAGTTTGATGGTTTTGCTGCTGAAATCCGACGTGTTGATGATGATTTTGATGTACTTCTCTACCATCAATACAGTTTTGTGTACTATGAACCTGTGTATTTGTCTGATATTGTGTGCTATTAGGAATGGTTTGAGAGACATGGTGTGTATTGTACTGGGGTGGTGGATGTCGAGATGGTGAATAGTTGTTCTGATACGTATACTGCTCGTACGGCGGTGGCGGTTTTCTCACTTTCGGCCTATTTGTCGGTGGGGGTTCGGTATATAATAAGTGGTTGCCACAATCCCCATTAGTTTTCTCTGTGGAGCACTGTTCTCTATGAACACTTCTTAATGTCTCTGCATTTATATTTATACTTATTTCAGAGCCAGGAGTACCGGAAGAAAAGATGCATATATTATTATTACTTTGTTTGTCTGTGTTACAATTATTATTATTGTTAAGTACATGTTCAGATTGAGGTATACTAAACGGTTTTAAGGGTCTGGATAGTTGTTGCTTCAATGTGACATATTGATTAGACTCATTCGCGATTCGGTTAATGTTCAGATGTGTTCTTTTTTGTTTAGTCCA